CCAGTTTCATTGGACACCTGGGAAACTATTTGGGTGAGAAATGTCAAATTTACTCAAGCACAGAATTTAAGGGAGAATTTTTATAAAATGTTTTATAGATGGCACCTTGATCCACAAAAAATGTCTTATATGTACCCTGACGTGCAACCTAAATGCTGGAGATGTGGTTACAAGGAGGCTTCTTATTATCATATTTGGTGGTCATGCAGAGAGATAAAAGCATTTTGGATCAAAATATGGTGGAATATCCAGAGAATTTTTAGAAGGAGGGTAAAATTCACTCCGCAATTATTTTTGTTAGGTATTGTTACAGATTGTGATACAAAGGAGGTTGTATTGATGTTAAACTTGATCACAGCCGCGAGGCTGTTAGTTGGACAATATTGGAAGAAGGAATCTTTGCCTACATTGCAGGAATGGTTTTTTAAAGTAGCTTATCTGGCGGAAATGGCAAAGATTTCGGCTTTCTTAAAGCAACAAACGCAAGAGAAGTTTTTTGCTATCTGGGACAAATGGATAAAATTTATACAATTTAGATTGGGTATACAAAAATATTATATAGCCTTTTCATAAGTTTTATTTTTATATATATTATAGATATCTTTTTTATATATATAAATATAGAGTTTTTAATTTAATTTTTATTTTTTTTTTTTTATTATTTCTTAAGCCTATATTCTGCTCTGGGAAGCTCAGGGGGGGGGAAGGGAGGGTTTTTGGGAGGGGTGTGGGGTGGGGTTTTTTTTTTTATATGTATTGTTTAATTTTTTTTTCTCTTTTGTATATGTTGTTTTTTGTTCTGTATTGTTCTTGTTTTTTTTGTAAAATTTATAAAACTTTTAATAAAAAAAAAAAATAAAATAAAATATGGATATACAAAGATATTCTAAATTTTAAAGGGAACTTAAAATCCAGGCAAGAGATGGAAAATCAGGGCATTGATTTAACATGGTGGTCATATTTACAAATGCAAGTTAGATATGATAAATATATTGGATTTTACAAAGAACAGACTATGTTTGATCAGACATTATTAACTTCTGATGAAAAGTTAATTTAAAAATGTACAATTTCTTATTAAATTTTAAAATGGAAGATGAACAAGTAGAAGAGACAATGATAGTATGGGCAAAGAATTTTGGATATAACATAGACTTAGAAAAGTTGCAAAGTTTGTGGGAAAGAAACTATAAATTGACAATGTCAGGTTCATACAAAGAAAATGTATATAAAATGTTTTATAGATGGCATTTGCCACCAACAAGATTAGCAAAAATGTTTAAAAACATGTCAGAGAAATGTTGGAAATGTAAACACAAACCAGGTACTTATTATCATATGTAGTGGACATATGTTAAAGCAAGGAGATATTGGACAATAATACACACTTGGTTAGAAAAAATGTTAGAGAAACACATAGACTATAAACCTGAATTTTTTTATTAGGTATAATGCCAAAAAAACTCGATAAGCAAAGTACATATCTGATTCTACATGTGATAACAGTGGCAAGAATTATATTTGCACAATATTGGAAGAATGAAGAAATACCACCAGAAGAAGAAATAATAAAAAAAATAGACTGTGCGAAATTGGACAGACTTACTTTAAGGTTGAAAGAAAAAGAAGAAACAGAATATTTTCAAACTTGGGATCTATTTTATCAATGGTTAGAGAAAATATTTAGGGATTAGGAATTTAACTTGTATTAGTGAATAAGATACTCAGACAACACATTTTTATTGAATAATTATTATTGAACTCTATTTAAAAAAAGAATAATAATAAAACTTTTTTAAAAAATTTAAAGGGACAGATTGAGAGAGTTACCACACCTGCACCTATGCCTACACCTATACACAGGGATAATCCAACATATGTTGAAACCTGAGATGAATTCTAAGATAACTAATATTCATTCTTTATCCTTTTTTACCTCATCTGATGGCAATGGCCCTGAAAGACATAGTGTGAATATAGGACAAAGTTTTAACTCTGCTGCTCATCTGTACCATTTTGCTGTACCATAACTGTAGCGTTTTGTATCATAGTAGTGCTGAAGACAGACAGATGAGAGATGATTATGAATAGGTCTAGCACAAAACCAGGAAAAACTTCCAGGAGGCAAGAGTAACTGATATTAAAACCAGAAATAAGAGGCAGGGAAAGGTGATAGATATAGTAGATTGGAAATAATGTCTTCTGAAAGTCCAATCACAGGTACCTACTGTGTTTCCCCCAAAATAAGATTAGGTCTTATATATATATTTTTGGACCAAAAGACCCACTAGGTCTTATTTTCGGGGGATGTCTTATTTTTCCTGTGTATAGCAAGCAGCGAGCATGCGAGGGCTGAGTGGGACAATGTTTGGTACAAACAGCAGGGCGTGGTCTGTGCATGGGTTGAAGACACATCCCCTTCCCCCCCAGAACTGATGCTCTTAACTAAGGCTTATTTTTGGGACAGGTCCTATTTTGGGGAAAACACGGTATTATGGCTGTCTTTGAAAAAGACAGAAAAGAAAATAGATAGAAACTGACAAAATATAGTTAGACTCATAACAAGTGCCTCAAAAAGATCACAAAATCTAAAATCTGGACTGAGGTCAAATCTACTAGAAATTTAAATATCTGAAGTGTAACCTCAGTTTTTTTAACAAACAAAATAATAACAATTAAATGTTTCTAATAGCTGTGACTAAGTAGAAGCTTCAATCTCTTTCCCTCCCTCTTTCTTCCTCAAAATCTATTTGTAGACAGTGCAAATAAAAAGTCTGTAACAGTTGCTAAATTTACTTGGGAAAAGGCTAGGTTTGTTTTTTACATGGAGAAAAAGGCTAACTTTGGCTGTTATACAGACTGATAACTATCCACACTTATAAAAAGCTTCCAACAAATGAAGAGTAATTTTATTAGAAGCAGAGGATTATTTAGTCTGCCCATTTCGAGGAAGTGGAATAAAGTAAATAAAGTAAACGTGACAAGGAAGTTATGCATGCAAGCCTATTAGGTTGGATGTTTTGCAGGACAAAAGGAACACATTAGCAAACTGATAAAGATTAAACTGTAAAGAGAAAACAAAGTACTTTCAGTAGCTTTCTTTGCACAAACACAGGTGTCTGCATGCACACGCACATAACATACAAACATATATGAAAGTACTGTTTTGTGGAGATTATTATGGAAAAATGTAACTGTTGTTTTGCATGTGCTGCTGTGATTGTATAGTTAAATGATTAACTAAAGAAAATATAACTTGTCTTCCTCCTTTGTCTGCTCTGTTTTAATAAGGATGGGCCACCTGTTGCCCACGGTCTGTGCAGTCTCTGAAACTATGGTGCTGAAGCCAAAATGCCAGATTCTTACTGTGTAGCCTTTGCCTTAAAAACCCAAAAGAAAACCCTTTGAAATTTCCAGTTTAAATAAGGGTAGTTTTTAAAAAAGGAGACTGCATCTCAAAGGATCCCTTTGTTAAAGCACTGAAATTTGCAGATGATACAACAGTGATTGGACTCATTCAAGACAATGATGAATCTGCATAGATGGGAAGTTGAACAACTAGCCTAGTAGTGCAGCCTGAACAATCTTGAACTGAACACACTCAAAACTATGGAAATTATAGTAGATTTTAGGAGAAGCCGTCTATTCTACCACTTCTTACAATACTAGACAACAGTGTCAACAGTAGATACCTTCAAGTTTCTAGGTTCTATAATATCTCAAGAACTTAAAAGGGACACCTTAACATCAAAAATATCATCACAAAAGCACAACAATGAATGTTCTTCCTGTGCTAACTGAGAAAGCTCAGATTGCTCAAGGAGCTGCTAATAAAGATCTACAAAGGAATGACTGAGTTTGCCATTTGCACCTCTATAACTGCCTGGTTTGGCACTGCAACGAAACAAGACAGACACAGACTTCACAGTTAGAACTGCAGTGAAAAATAATTGCAAACAGCCCGCCTTCCACTGAGGACCTGTAAATTGCAGGAGCCAGAAAGAGAGCTGTGAAAGTATCTACAGATCCCTCACATTCTGAACACAAACTGTTTCAACTTCTTCCCTCAAGATGATGCTATAAGGCATTGCACGCCAAAACTTCTAGACACAAGGGCAGTTTTTCTCCCTATGCCATCACTCTGCTAAACAACTAATTCCCACAATTCCCACTGTCAAACTACCTAGTAGGACTGTATTACTATTAGACCTCTCATCTTTTCTATTACCTATTACCTTATTTTCTTATGACTATAATTTTGTGGCTTGTGTCTTATGATTTATATTGTTTTGGTTTAGTATCCTAATATGATTTATGTTGATTTCTTATTTAGTATCTTATGATTATCACTGTACTGTATCTTATGATTTAGATGATTATATTTATGATTATGATCATGATTTATCACTTGTTGCTTGTATGTACACTGAGAGCTTATGCACTGAAGACAAATTCCTTGTGTGTCCAATCACACTTGGCCAATAAAGAATTCTATTTTATCCCTAAAATTTTGGCGATGTCTCACTTTATCTTGGAGAAAATGCGTGAAATATTTTAATACTGTTCCAAGTAATCTATACATTACTTTCATAGAAGTTATATTCTTCAAAATGTTGGCTTTGCAATGTACCTTAACAAATTATAATAAAGATTTGATTACAGGTGAGATGTGAGATTGCATTAAATCGGTGAGACTAAATGGTTAGCTATAGTTAGTTATGCATCTTTATTATCTTCTATCTGGCATGGTTCATTTTAAGAAATCTTGAAAGAGAAGGGAAGAAATTGCCTTTTCCTGTAATAAAAGTGCCCTGTGGAACAATGAATTACTTAGGAGTCTATCAAATTTAATCAAGCAATGGTTTAAATAACCAGCAGGTGGCAGTGCCAGTGCCTATTTTAGCTTTCCTATTAAACAATAAAAGCAGCACAAGTGCTGGCTGGCTGCATTGCTGTACCAGAGTCATCTCAGCTGCTTTTGCTGTTACACTTCAGTTCACTTCAGATGCTGTTTACAGAGGTGCCCCTCCTTGCAGCCTGGACTATCATATACTTTTCTTTAGGGAATTCCAAGCCTGGTGCTGACTGGAGATGCCACTGTGAGGATCATTTCATTGGTCTGGGATGAGTCGACAGAGCCTGGAGGTGAGACGTGCATGCTGCTCAGTGGGACACTGTTGAGCCCTTAATTGCATGATTTTGCTTTCCACTTACCCAAACAATACCTATCTTCCTGTAATGCTGTAGCAGAGGGAAGTTCCAAAATGTCTGTTAAGGAATTCATCATTGAAGCTTCTATCAGTAATCAGAGAAATAGCCAGGCTACTGAGGTATTGGATGACCATTTGCAATACAGCATTACAATTTTCTGTTTTCAGTTGTGGTGCAAAATTGAGACTGCTTTAAGTGATGCTCTCCTTGTGTTGTGGAATGATGACATAATAAGGGAATACCAGCCAAAACTCTTTCCTATGAAATTATTAAGTGGCATGGAAGTCTTGCCTTATCTCTCTCCCCCTCCCCAGGTGGGAATACCAAACTGAATCAGGAATAGAGGCTCTATAAGGACTCTATGGAAAGCAGGTGGGATGATGTTGACCATGAATGACCAACTACCTTTTAATCCTTCATTCTTCAGATGTGGTTTTTAGTTTCCCCAGTTTTGAATTTGGCTTATTTTGTAGCTCAGCACTAAAGGATGAAGCCAAGAAGATTTACTGCCAAGCAAGTGTCTGTTTTGACCTGCAGTGTCAAGAGGGTCTCTCTGCCTTACTTTGAGAAACAGTGATGTGTTTTGCTATGTGGTAGTCCAGGCTTCAACAGTTGTTTTTCTATCAATGTTCCTGTCAGCAAAGCCCACTGGCATTCATTAATTCCAGTTATGTCAAGCTTTATGCAAGGGTCTGTGCAGCTTTCTTCCAAAAGAGCTACCACTTCTGTGTTTTATCACCTGAACTCCTACTGATCCCTTCCCTCTCCTTATTTTTCTCTCACTTGTTCACTCACATGACATTGGAGACAGAACGGTGGCAGTTTATTTGTCAGGTTGAGCTGGAATTTACCATCTTAGGTTGTGTGGGTTATGACAAAAAAAAAAACTTATTCCATCCTAGCTATTTCTCTCAGTTCTCAGTGTTTTGTAACCTCTTGTAACCTGTACTTCATACTCACTTTGATTAGGAATTTCAGTATCTCTCTTGCACATAGTATTTTGTTGGGCAAGGCAACAAATGGGATAAGAAGCACTCTTTTTATATGATCTCTGCCTGGCTTCTGCCTTTCATTCTATTTTCTTTGTTTGGGTTTTATTAACAAGGTGATCATACCACATTAAAAGGGAAGTTATTTGTACAAAAGATCATCTTAACTACTTGCAATGTGTTTACAGGTGTTTCAAAAATGTAGTTTTGTTTTTAAAAAGGTTATCAACCATTATATATCAAACTTGCTCTTTAGTGTAGTATATTTTTTGTTATCCTATAATGCTGAAATCCAATAATTTAAAAAGAGTTTAGGAATTTTTTTTACTTGAAGTTTCATGTAATTTTTAGAAAACTGTTGAATCTCTCCTAAGAGTTAGATTAAATAGTTTTGAATATGCTGAGGCTGAATAATATTTTGCATTCAGGATACATAATATTTTACTTCAAAGTATCATGGCAAAATCTTTTCACAGATTGTTCTGAAATAATGTGAAAATTATTGTGTGTACCATGATTACAAATGCAAAATATAACATTGGGTATGCACATCTGGGTATGTATATGTGCATTTATCTATCTGTCTATCTGGCAGTGATGGTAGTAAAGTTAGATAGTTAGATAGACCCAGTTCAAGTATCTTTAGCCATAGAGCCTTACTGGATAATTTTGAGACAATCATCCTCATAGCTCAATGAATAAAAACCGTGAGGGTAGAGATAAGAACAAGTTTATTTATGCAAAATAGGCACCTGGTATTCCTCAAAGCATGTGCAAACCCATCAAATCCCAACAGTTTTTATACCTAAAATCTCAAGCAAGTATCCTGTGGTCTTAGAGGTTATCAAAACAAGCAGATGTCTCCCTAACAAGTATCAGTAAAACAAACATTTCTTAGATCTACTCTCTCTCTCTCTCTCTCTCTCTCTCTCCCTCCCTCCCTCCCTCCCTCCCTCCCTCCCTCGTAGGCAGCAAAAAACAAACTTAAATCAAAGCAAATTTAAATCAAAACAACCTTAAATCTATCACGTCTGTAATTTTTCAGCCTTGCTTGTTATGATCTCCTATACCAGCTTTAGCACTCCCAGCCAGTCAAAGCAGGGTTACTGATGCCAGAGTAACATTGTAGCTTTATGACTTTTTTATCACTTTAGCTGGGTAAACGGTTTGCAGAGTAACTTCTTGTGTTTGATACTGTGCAAATATTTCTAAAACAGTACAGAGGACCACCCAGATATTAAAATGTACAAAATGGCTAAAAACTGGCTCTGGCTCAATATTGTCTCAGTTTAGTCTATTACACAGGGTTGTTATTGAAGGAATAATATTAAGGAAAGTGGTGGAATATAAATATTAAGAATGTAATTCTCTGTAACTGATTTTGAATTTTCAGAATTCATATGTGAACATCAATAGGAGTGCCAGTTTGGTCTAGTGGTTAAAGCTAGAAACCAGAAGATTGTGACCTCTAGTCTTGCCTTAGGCATGAAAGCCAGCTGGTAATGTTGGGCCAGTCACTCTTACTCAGCACAGGGCATTAGGGTCAGGTAACAAACCAATCAATCAGTTCCTCTTGCAACAAGCAGATCATCACTTGGCTGATCCCCCCCAAAAGGCAAAATAGGAAGAAAAAAAATTCAGTACTCATCAACCTGAGGATATCTACTATTTTTCTCTGAATCAATATATAATTAAGACATGTCCTTTAGAATAATTAATTTTGAAAGTTTCAGTCAGGTATACAAAAGAGGTCCATGGAAAGGAAAGATCAAAAAGAATGTGGACCCAACTTTATATTTGGCCTTGTTCACATCTAATATAATTGCTGGTCTGAGAGGAAAAGAAGCTGGGATGTAAGCTGAAATAAGGACAAACGGCTCTTATCCATATCCCTCTTTTGATATTAAATCAGAAGAAAAATCCTGCTTTGAATGCTTTGAAAGGAAATGTTTTGAAAGAAAGAGCAATATAAAAATGGAATAAATAATAAAAGCAATAGAAAAATGAAATTTAAAAGCTGTATGTCCACAGCTTTTTTCTATGTTAGTAGCAGGATATTTTTATCACTGTTAGCTTGTATGCTGAAAATGGCTTCTTAATAAGTGAGACAATATTTTATATATGTTAATTATTCTTGGATAATTTTGTTAGACTATAATTTGAAGCTTTCTGTTTTCATCATATTTGTTTATCTACATTTATTAGTAGAGGAAAAGAGAGGCTGTAAAAAAAATAAGGCTCCCAATCACATTTATGTAAAAGTTTCTCTGGAATCTGTGATGATGCTTGTACCATCATACATCCAGTCATGATTGTATCAATAACAGGACATAAAAACTGTGTGATATACCAGAGAGCAATCCTATAGCATCTCAGGTCTTACATGTGTGTTGGATTACAACTCCCAGAGCACTCAGCCAACACAAGTATAAAAGGCACACTAGCTGTTTTCCCAAACTAATCTCTTCATATGCATGTAAGGAATAGCATTAACATCTTTTTGAGCCATTAATGGAAGATTAACAATCCAGTATGCATCCAGTGAAAACCACATTGAATATATTTATTTGTTTATTTATCGCATTTATTATTTTTATAAAGAACTCAAAGCAGCAAATATACCTAATATTCCTTCTCCCTCATATTTTTCCCATAAAAATAACTGTGAGGTGAGTTGGTCTGAGAGTGCCTGGCCCAAGTCACCCAGTCAGCTTTCACATCTAAAGTGGGATTAGAACTCACAGTCTCTCAGTTTCTAGCCTGGTGCCTTAACCACTAGAGCAGTGATTCTCAACCTTTCTAATGCCATGGCCCCATAATACAGTTCCCCATGTTGTGGTGACCCCCAAGTGGGTGTGGCCACCAGTAAGAGGGAGTAGGATAGCTAGGGAAAAGGGAAAAAAATGGCGGACAGCATGGTTTGGCGACCCCCGTGAAATGGTCATTTGACCCCAAATGGGGTCCCGACCCACAGGTTGAGAACCACTGCACTAGAGCAAATTGGCTATACATACAGAACCACAGAGATAATAGTACATAAATAGATTTTATAATAATAGCTTTGACAAAAATGGCCTGTAAGATACTATAATACAGTGGTAAGGATTGTACAATCATCTGAATGAAAGAGATTAAGGAATCATAGTTTTGTTTATAATTCAGCATAACCATTTTGACTGAAAAAGAGAACTATTACACTTTGTCTAATCTAAAGTTATGCAAGATACTTCTATATCTTATTTCTGAAAGCCTTCACGCAGGCTATACAATTATGTACATTAAATATTGTACGTATGTGCTGTTCTTGTTTTTGACTGACTTTTTAATTTTGTTCCTTTTTTGTGCTCAAAAGGCAATAGAAAAAATAAATACCTCTTCTGTCTACTTTTTAAATGGCCCCAGACACTCACTCATATCTCTTTGCAGTTTAAAAAAGGCTTTCGGGGAATGTGACTATCAGTATATATTTTGCCATGTAATCTGTTTCAGTTCAAGCTCATGCCTAATAGGATAACCCTCTTGAATAGCTCCTTAAGATCTAGAAATAGTAATTAAATTTGTAGGAATCCCAAATGATAGTTATATGGCTAAGTCTCTCTATACAGTAGACGAAAAATGTGAAGCAAAATGTATTTCATTTTGCTCATTAGAAATAAATTCCAGTCTGAGCTAGCTCATAACAGAGAATTGTTCTGCTTTAGGTGGCATTGTAACCATGGATTAATGAAGCGAGAACTCACCTTTGGATAGTGCACAAAGACTTTTCAAAGAGTTGGCCTTGGCATATTTTGCTTGCAAAATATTTTGCCATTTCTCTCTAACTTGGGGAAAGGAAATGGAGCCTTTAGAGATGGCCCCCATCCAAGATATGATTCATTACTGAAATGATCAGCTAGACTGATTCAAGATAATACAATAAATCAATTAAGATATATTCCAAAATGT